ATATAAAACTCTTTTGTTTAATTTACTATATGTTTTAAAACTAATCTGTATAAAAAATATTAAGTTATTTTTAGATAAATACTATGAGATAACATTGATTTAAGTTATATAATTTCAATGAATACTATTGTAAAATTAATATCCTTTTGATTATAGGTTAAATTTTATAAACATAGAAGAATTTTTATGAAACAAACAATAACCCAATATTGACAGAAAGAAAAGTTGTTGAATAAATAAACAAATGAATATGTTGATATTTTTAAATAATCTTTAAAAATATTAAAATTATCTTTCTTTATTAAATAAAAAAATTAAAAAGTCATGCAACAATTACTTATATATTTTTTTGTTATTTAGTTTGACCTTAAATATATTTAATATCAATTGAGTAGATAAAAGTTTTTAAAATAATTTTAACTTTTTGGTTATTTAAATACATTTAAAACTATTAAACATACATTATCAAGTACTAAAATCAATCTGTTATTTATCTACAAGTTAAACTAAAAGAGTGTGTTATATCAATCAATCTTTTTTTTATCAATAAAAACACATTGACTTTTTTAGAACTCTGTTATACCATATTATAAACCAACTATTTATTGATATTTAAAAGATAATTTTTATCATCATAGCTTCAGTTTATTCTCTATAAAATTATCAAGAAAACTCTTTTAATGATACTTTCATCAACTTCTAAACAGAAATTTATCAATTTATATAATTAAAAGTCTTCGATTTTTCTGATCATGTTATAATTATATGTTAAGAATATAATAATATTTATCTAATTAATCACGTTTTCACTATCTTTTATTTAAGTTATATACAAAATATATCAACTTGTTTTATCTTAAAAACAAAAAACAATTTGTTCCATCAACTTTTAAAAGGTTGTAGTAAATAATATTATTTTTTATACTTTTCATAACAAAAGAAGTTATTTCAATATATTCTCTTCAATACGACATACATAGAAGGAGAAGTTATAAAAAACAACTTTATTCCTTCAATTTGAAAAAATTATGTTGCTATTATAATATTCAAAAATATTTGAAAGGTGTGTTTATAATACCTATTATATTATAGAAAAAACCAGAATCTGTCATTTAAATGGATATATTTAAAATTTTTTATAAATTATAAAGATTATAGATATCTAAATAATACCTAAAAAGTTTTTTGGAAAATATTGATTA